GCCTGGAGGAGCGGAGAAGGCCGACGCCCTCGTGAAGAGGGTGTCAAAAGTGTTTGAGGGCAAAGAGGGGGTGAAGTTCACCCGTCCCATTAAACACGCGGAAGTCCGCGTGCGGGACGTGGTGCCCCCCCTCTCCACGGAGGACATTGCCGCCGCATTAGCGGCGGCAGGTAGATGCCAGCCCAGTGAGGTTCGCACTAAGCTGGTTCGCTCCTCTCCCGTTGGATACGGGACCTTATGGGCCCGTATGCCCTTGAGGGCGGCCCGGCGGGTAGTAGGGGCGAAGCGCATCGAGGTGGGGTGGTTTAGCCTCCCCGTCGAGGCGCTGGTAGCACGGCGTATGCAGTGCTATCGGTGCCTCGAGTACGGACACGTGGCACGCAAGTGCTCCGGTGTCGATCGGAGCACGGTGTGCTACAGATGCGGGGAGGGTGGCCACCTTGCCATCTCATGTAGGGCTGCCCCCAAATGCACTTTGTGTGCGAGCCGGGGGCAGCCAGCGAACCACCGGATGGGCGGCGTAAGGTGCGCCCCCATGCCGGCAAAGAAAATAGCCACTAGGCGGGGCGCCGGAGTTTCGGCGTCTCCGCTGCCACCCGGTGGCAAGGAGGGCGGGGAGGTGGCGGTGCCTGACACCTCCCCGAAGAAGAGGAGAAAGCGGCGGGCCCGCAGCGCCGGGTCCGGCGAGGACTCCTCCGGCTGGGAGGAGGACGGAGAGGGGGTTTACCTCCTCTCCCCGGTGGTGAGCCTGGCCCGGTTGTGGCCGGAGAAGAGCGAGGCGCGGGGGGATAATCCTCCCCCGTCCGCCTCCTCTGAGGACACAAAGCCCGCCGCAGGTGAAGGGGGGAGGCCGCTAAGACCTTCTCCCCAAGCAAGGAACCTTCCGATCTCCGGAAAGAGCCGGAGACTGAGGAGAAGGGGAGTGGGGACAATGCGATGCCTTCCCCTCTCCCCAAAAGGAAAGCGTCCGGGACCAGAGACCGCAAAGTTGCTGGCTCCCGGGCAACAAAAGGTGCGGCGCCCAAAGCGCCGGGTTCAGGGGGAGGCTCCACTAAGAAGCCCTCCCCCAAGCGGCAGAGGGGAGGCAAGTCAGCCTCCCCTTCACCGGGAAGACAGAAGCCGGGACCTAAGTCCTCCAAGTCGGGCAATTAGGCTCGGCTTGGAGGCAATTCCTGTGCTTGGGGTAGGGGGGTTCACGGCTCGGGCGTGACCCCTGGACCCAGCCCCTGTCAAGGGGCTGCTTGGTCGCGGTTAAGGGGTTCGAAAAATCGAATTGACCCCTCCTGACTTCGGTCACGGGGGGCGGAGACTTGGCGGGGCAAGTTGGGGAACTTGCCTCGCCATTGCACAAGTCCTCAGGGAGGGGCGGTTTGAGGAGGGCTATGGCCCCTTCCTCCTGCCGCAATCTCAAAGGCAACGGTAATAGGGGGCGTTGTCCTTTGGGGGCACGTCTTGGACTCGGGGGGGCCTGGAGACGTAATAGCCTCGCGGCTGCCACAGGCTCCCCCACTATGTCCGGTGGAGGCCATCGAGGGGTTTTAGTGGGTGCGAGTCCCACACTCCCCGCCCAAATC